GTGTGTGCGTGTAGAGTTTTCTGGAGGTTTCCCCTAGCAACGAGCAGCAGCACCAGCACCAGCCACAGCCCGGCTTAGGGGTAGCTACGAACCCCGCGCGAAATCTCCTTCCTTTTTCTCTTTCTCTTCGCTCTTCTTTCCCTCTTTCTTTCTTTTACTATTTTTCCTTTCCGTTTCCATGTTGTCCCACAGTTTCGGTTTATCCTGATTTTCCTCCCTGTTCGAACATTTCGCGAGGAAATCGAACAAGACAGTCTCTTTCCGTCGATTCTCTTTTTTCTCGCGAAACTTTCGAGCTCTTAATCGTCGATCATAGAAACGTAGACGACCCAGGGATACTCGGCGATCCGACTAAACGAGAAAAACGATCGGACGGCGCGGCGAAAGAGTGGCCTATGATCGGAAACGCGACGATCGGTCGCGAAAGAACGGAGAAGATTTTCCCGCAAACGTATCGCATGATCGTCGTTATTCTCGCGACTCGGAATCATGTATCGCCTCGGACAATGGTAAATATCGTGAACGAGCTCACAAATCCCCGTTGTTCGTATCGAAAGTGGACGAAATCGCGATCGACGTTATCGAAGTAGCACGAAAACTGAAGGGACAAACGATACGTCCGGAGTTGCAAAAATAAAAAAGAAAAAACGAGCATTTTCTTGATACGAGAAAGAACCTTTTTCTCGGACAGCGGTTCGAAGCTTTCCCTACGAAACCGGAGGGAGTGAAGCAAAGGGAGAGCGTGCGAGAGAGAGAGAAAGAGAGAGGGACAGTATGTGCGCGTGTATGTGTATGTGCGCGCGCGATGAGAAGAGCACGGACAGAGAGTAGAGGAGAGGAGAGTAGAGGAGAGTAGAGTAGAGTAGAGTAGAGTAGAGTAGAGGAGAGGAGAGGAGAGGAGAGGAGAGGAGAGGAGAGGAGAGAGGAGGAGAGAGGAGAGGAGAGGAGAGGAGAGAGACGGATAGAATCTCTCCATTCCCTCGCCCACTTCCCTCGTCTCACCCCCGTCGACTGCCCTAGTCGTTTCCAGCAAGTACTTCTATGTACCACCCATCTCCTACACGCTACCCTTATATACCTTGTATATTTACCTTGCCGGCATATACAGCGTACCTATGTGTACGTACACATTGGGGCCCGCGATACATAGGTCCGAGCTCCGCGTAAAAAGTATATACATGGAACGGTAGGTATCGCTCCGGCTGAAAATTATTCCGAGTATTTTGGAATTAGCGTGCGAAAACGAGCAACGTTGCGCGAAGGAAAAAGAGAAGAAAAAAAGGAAAAGCTGAATGGAAAACGTAGTTTTCGCCGATTCACCGACCGTTCGACCGTTCGACCGTTCCGTGAACTCCGTCCGAACGCACCACATTCTTCGCGTCTTCTCTATCTTTGTATCGCTTTCCCAACGAACCGATCTCGAAACCTGGTGTATCAGCACCAGGCCAGAAAAGAACCGATTTCGCGTGCAAAGGCACGGCAAAGCGTTATCCGTGACCGTACGTGCGCTTCTCCTTCTCCTTCCTGTTTCTCTAGACTCTAGACGGATACTTTTTATCGTGGTTTCGCGATAGATAGGGAAACTCCCGCGCGAAACCGCGTCAAGACCGATTCTTTTAGCACGTAAGCCTCGGAAAACTGATCGTAGAAACGACGACTGCGGTCTCTCGAATTTTTTTCGTCGGACACGAATAACGCGAGTCCCGGTTTGTTCGCCGCGATACATAGTTAGAAGTCAGATTTATTCGACGGAGTAGGTGTATCGTCGAAGGATGAATCGTTATCGAAACGTGGGTTTAGAAGGCAGCAGGATTACGACGGCGCTCGACGATAAAAAAAATGAAAATTAATTCCGGTTCTGCCCGAACGTCGGATCGTACGGACTATTGGGCTACCGGACACAGGCCCCTTCGAGATACTTTACGTAACGTCGCGTTGCGTCGTTCTGTCTTCGGCAGCCGCGCGACCGTTTTATCCTGGAAAGCGTGCCGCTGGAAATAGGAGAGGAGAGGAGAGGAGAGAGGAGGAGAGAGGAGAGGAGAGGAGAGGAGAGAGACGGATAGAATCTCTCCATTCCCTCGCCCACTTCCCTCGTCTCACCCCCGTCGACTGCCCTAGTCGTTTCCAGCAAGTACTTCTATGTACCACCCATCTCCTACACGCTACCCTTATATACCTTGTATATTTACCTTGCCGGCATATACAGCGTACCTATGTGTACGTACACATTGGGGCCCGCGATACATAGGTCCGAGCTCCGCGTAAAAAGTATATACATGGAACGGTAGGTATCGCTCCGGCTGAAAATTATTCCGAGTATTTTGGAATTAGCGTGCGAAAACGAGCAACGTTGCGCGAAGGAAAAAGAGAAGAAAAAAAGGAAAAGCTGAATGGAAAACGTAGTTTTCGCCGATTCACCGACCGTTCGACCGTTCGACCGTTCCGTGAACTCCGTCCGAACGCACCACATTCTTCGCGTCTTCTCTATCTTTGTATCGCTTTCCCAACGAACCGATCTCGAAACCTGGTGTATCAGCACCAGGCCAGAAAAGAACCGATTTCGCGTGCAAAGGCACGGCAAAGCGTTATCCGTGACCGTACGTGCGCTTCTCCTTCTCCTTCCTGTTTCTCTAGACTCTAGACGGATACTTTTTATCGTGGTTTCGCGATAGATAGGGAAACTCCCGCGCGAAACCGCGTCAAGACCGATTCTTTTAGCACGTAAGCCTCGGAAAACTGATCGTAGAAACGACGACTGCGGTCTCTCGAATTTTTTTCGTCGGACACGAATAACGCGAGTCCCGGTTTGTTCGCCGCGATACATAGTTAGAAGTCAGATTTATTCGACGGAGTAGGTGTATCGTCGAAGGATGAATCGTTATCGAAACGTGGGTTTAGAAGGCAGCAGGATTACGACGGCGCTCGACGATAAAAAAAATGAAAATTAATTCCGGTTCTGCCCGAACGTCGGATCGTACGGACTATTGGGCTACCGGACACAGGCCCCTTCGAGATACTTTACGTAACGTCGCGTTGCGTCGTTCTGTCTTCGGCAGCCGCGCGACCGTTTTATCCTGGAAAGCGTGCCGCTGGAAATATCGTTGTCCAACTGCTCGTTTCAAACATGCCACGAGAAACCAACGGGATTCGATCGAATTTCCAAAGAAATTTCCAAACAATAATCGTCGTAGACCGCGTGCTTTAATTACGATTCTACGAAGTTAGGACATTAACGTCGCCACATAAGCCATTACGATAGCGTTTGTGCAGGTTGTTTGGAAAAGATCGTACTAAACTGTAAGAAAACGCGATAATATTTTGTAATGCCGGGTAATATTTTGATTACGATAACGTTCGGTTTATTCGAAGCAACGGGAATCGTACCGAACGTTCGGCGCGACAGCTTGTTCGACTCGATTACACCGATTACGGTATTTAGATCGGCGAGGAATTATTACGAACCAGACTCGACGTTACTCCGACTTTTATTTTCCCCCGAGACCGGAACGTAACCAGCTGTCGTCTCCGTTCCTACCTTGTAATAATCGTGTTCGATTATCGGGCGACAAACGCAGGAAATAAGAAAAAGAAATGTGAAAAATAAAAAAAAGGGGATTACGAAGAAACGGTTCGTTCGATCGGTCGCGCGATTAAAAGCTCTTTCGCTAGGACCGCGCGCGATCTTCGGTTCGAACGGAAACAGCGTGGGCAGGTTGCATTATGCTGGTTCGCGCAAACTTCATTGTTTGTATTTAGTCTCGTGCGTAATATTTGCGCCGTGGCGCGATACCGTGCGCACCGGGCGTCGAGGCTACGCACCGCGTTCGCAGCGACTTTCCCCGATATCGAGTGTCACGGCTTTTAGGCCCCATCCGTTGGTAAACCGAGCAACGATAGTTTCAAATTCGATCACGAGTTGCCTCTGTTTTCGCGTTCTTTTCACCCTTTAGCGTTTCTCGCGCGAGTTCTTCCCGATTCGCGGACGAGATGACCGTGACTTCTCGCGATCTCGTCGACACGAAATTACTCGGTCCAAGCGGTTTCGTCGCCGCCAACGCGAAACTACTCGATCGATCGAGCTCACAGCTGATCGTAATGGCTCCGTTCTCCGAGAACTTTCGAGGAACGCTCTCGCACCCGTAATCTCCGTTACGCGATTACGACTCGAATCTTTTGCCAACCGAGCGCAGTCGCTATCTATCGCCGCGCGTACCGTCTTTTCGCCCCGAATCAAACTCTCTGCTCGTCCTCGCGATGCCGCGAAAGAATACGCGCATCTTGAGAAACTTTCTTTTCGCGTCGTCCTAGATGTAACGCTTTCATCGAGGCGTCCATGAAATGACAATTTTTTTTTTTACTCGTCGCAGAAAATTCGTCTTTTATACGAACGAAAAGGACGAACAATGGATAGAACAATCATAATTGGGACGAGCTTATAGGGAATACGATCGATTAAGCGGAGTACACGTGGATTCGTGCGTTTCGAATTCGTCTTCTTCTCCTCTTCTTCCTCCTCCTCCTCTCTTTTATCCTCTATTTTCGTTTATACGGCCATAGTTGTATCTCGTAAATGGTAATCGTGACAGCGTACGACGTTAATCAGCTGTCTATCGCGCACTGTGTACTACACGTTCGTCGACGACGATAACGCTTTCCCGAATAAAAACAAGTACTTCGATTAAGGGATTAAGGGAGAGAAAGAGAATCGCTGTAGAAATTCGTTGGTCGAAGATAAGAAAAGTACAGGTTGCTCGTTTCCGCTTTCTAATATCGACGGTCGATACGAATCCATCGAGCAAGTTTAGAAGGATTCACGGCTCGTTTCGTTCGCGATCGCGTCGAACAATTTACCGAGATTCCGTGGTTTTATAAATGACTCGATATTGCGAGCATTAATTCGTTCGTCGAGCCATTAATATCCGAGATGTCCTCCTCCTATGAACGGACGAACGAACTAACGTACAAGCTAGGGAATATCGTTTGGAACGCGACGAAATTACCTGTTGCTGGTCGACGCACGAAGACATTCCCTCCGGCTTCGTTTCTGCAAAGAAAAGAAACAGAAATAAAAATATCGATAATACGATGAACGTTTCTGTGAAAGGGAACAACTGAAAAGGTTGAAAGAACGAAAAAGAAAGAATTCTTGTCTCGATTTCGTAACATTATTCGCGCGAAACGATGGTTCGCATTAAAGAGTGCCGTTTGATTTTTCGTTTCAGGTCGTATCCGTCACCCGTGCAAAACGGAGGACCAAACGGAGCGACGATGAATTGCAACGGGTCTCAAGGTAAGAACGATTCGAGATCTCGTAGGTAGACCGAGCGGAAAGGCAAAGGCTGAAACGCGACGTCACCAGATATATCGCACATTTTCGGAGATGGAACGGTATTTCGCGATAGAACGCGGAGATACGTCGGCGTTGCAAAAATTCGAGGAAACGTTTCGCGTATCGAATTAACGTTGCATTCGATTCATTGGCGGTGTTCTCCGTCAAAGATTGGCCACGTATCGAAATACGTGTACATCTCTCTCGATCTCTCTTTTTCTCTCTCTCTCTCTCTCACACACACACACTCCCTCTTTCTCTCTCTCTCTCTTCCTCTCTCGGGCCGCGAATAATTTTCCAACTATCAAATCGACGCCGCGTACTCCGTTTCACGTAGGTCGCGCGACAACGACCGGCTCGATACGCGTAGGTACGCGTATCGCGGAGAAAAGTTTCAGCTTGTACGACAGGGACAGAGGGGAACAAAAAAAAAATTCCCCACCTCGTGACAATTCAATATCGCGGGATTACGCGGACAAAGGTATAACGAATCAAATATCATTTTAATTTTCTATATTGTATCTTGCAAACGCGTACCGCTCGAACGCGTCGACGATACGTGCGTTTGGCATTCTGCAAAAACCTGCCGTTTTATCCGCGCGCGTTTATTTTCAGATTCGACCCGTCGTTTTCCGTTGATTCACGCGAAAGAGGACTTTTCGAATCGCGATAAAATCGGTCGTCGCATGGACCATGCCCAGTCTCGATTCAAGACCGTAAGAAAAATTTCGATCGATTCGAGTCGCGAATTTTGAGCGATCGGAAGAACGGGAGGAAAGGAAATTTGGCGCGACGTAACCCGAGAGAAGAGAAACGGAAAGAAAACGTAATCGCTAGGGAACGAAAGTGGGTACGAATTTTCCGGGTGCGGTTACCCCGACGCGGCGGTATGCAAAAATCTTTATTCGTGCAAGAGAAAGGAGAAATAGGGTGAGAGAGAAAGAGAACGAAATAGAGAGAGAGAGAGAGAGAGAGAGAGAGAGGGAGAGAGAGAGAGAGAGAGAGAGAGAGAGAGAGAGAAAGAGAAAGAGAGAGAGAGAGAGGCGGTTCACGTTTGCGAAAAAGTTGACTCACGGCGTAAAAATATACCTCGAGCGATAAGCTCGTGGAAAAATAACGCGGCTCTTTTCGTTCGCGTTCGATATTAAAAATATTCCGGAATAACGTAAAAACTTTGCGGTGTTGGACAAGAACGAAACGCCCAAGGGACGAAGGTACAAACGCTTTCGACGATTTAATCGGAGCGTTCGAAAGGTGATTCCGTTGGTTCGACGGGCGTCGAACCGTTTCTTTTTTAAGTCGGCGTAGGTATTTTCGCAAGAAAACTGGTCGGAAAAGAGAAGCATCGATATCCCATCGTTTCGGTAACGAGGAGGATAACGCGGCCGCGAACGCGACACGCCAGATTCGCGAACGCGGATCGGGTTTCTAACGATACGATCGAGCCAAGGCAAAAGACGAAGGCGCGATGGTAACGATAATGGCAGAAGAACGAAGCAAAGTCGAGGTTCGATGGGTTTTTCTGTGCAGGGGTGATGGTAAAGCAGGAAGCGAGGGATGACGGTTACGAGACAAGTCCGGACCTCGAGATGAGGAGCACCGGCGGTGACAGCAGTCAGCAGTACCACACGCCGCTGACACCGCACACACCGCACACGCCGCACACGCCGCACACACCCCTCACGCCGATATCGGCGACAGCGCATCAACCCCAGCAACCTGGCTCGACCGCTTCCACCCTTGGACAGGTGAGTTTTTCCTATTTCTAGCCGGAGGAAGCCGCGCGAGAACCCTTTCGACGCTGGCTACCTTCTCTCCCTCTTTTTCTCCTCCTTTGCTCCGAGTCCACGCCATTTTCCTCGCCTCACGCCGTCGCTCTTCTCCTCGTCGCCAACGAACGAGAGTCGAGTTGCCGCTGTTCGACCACCGAATCTCCAAAAAGAAATCGCAACGAGCAGGAACCCGAGAAAGAGGAGAGAGAAAGAGAGAGAGAGAGAGAGAGAGAGAGAGAGAGAGAGAGAGAGAGAGAGAGGGAGAGAGCGAGACGAAACGCGACGGAATTAATCGAAGCACCGGTAACGAGCAACGATTACGCGGTAAAAATACCTCGAAATAAAATTGAAAAGTTATTGCTCGATAAAAACAATGTACGATCGACGAACCGGCCGATCGGCCGTACGCGAATCCAGTATTCGACTCCCGGACGAATCGAAATTACGAGCGATAAATTGCGAGGAAAGCGCGGGTAATCGACGCGTCGGATTCGTCGTAATACCGCCGGATCAATTTGCATATCGATGTTAGTTTTTACGGTTGACCGTCGCTTACGCAACGCACCTTCGCGATTGTAACGACGGAAGAAATAGATTTTTCTTTCTTTTTACGCCGCGGCTGTTGCTCGCAAAAGCGATCGATCGTTCCGATCGGGCAGCCGCGGACGGCGACGTCGTTTTTTCGTTCGATCGTGGTTCCGTTTTCGAAGAATCGATCGCGCGCACGACGGCGTCCGTTCCGTGGATAACCCCGGATCGAGGCTAAACAAACCGAACGATAATCGCTCGCGACGGCTACTAGACGCCGATAAACGGAGTATCCCTTTCTTTTTTACTTCGGTGGCGAGCGATTCGCTCGAAGGTCGTTCACGACGGCCGTCGACTCGAAATAACGCCGACTCCGTTATTAAATGGTAACGATGATTCGCAGGTAACGATCAAGTGCGAGACACCGGTGGATCCGTATTCGTTCGTGGACGAGGAGATGTCGATGGGTGGTATGAGGACTGCCAGCAGCCCTGCCGGTAACCCGGAGAACATGACGTGTCCGTCCGGAGCGCAACCGGGCCTGGGTACGCCTACGTCGACACCGCCCGGACCACTCTCCGGACCGCTTTCCGGACCACTGTCTGGACCGCAACATCTTCAGATGAACCTCGGCGTGATGAACGGCAACGTGAACCCTCAGTTGGCGGTTCATCAGCCAAAGAAACGGGGCCGCAAAAGAAAGTCCGAAATGATTCTGACGCCGGAAGAGTAAGAGACCCGTTTGTTTTCTGTTCGTCCCTCTACGATATGCTCTTTCTTCTGTTCGCCATCGAATTCGACGCGACGCGACTCGACCCTATGATTAGTCGCGAACGAAGAAACGACGACGCTCGATGCCTGGTCGCGCGCGTACTCTTCGTTTCTTCGAACCGCTTTGCTACGTCTAAACGCTCGAGCGGACAGCACCGCACGGTTCGATCGAGGACGAACCAACGCGGCGCGAAAGCGCGACGATCGAAGTCGCGGAAATACTCTGACAGGAGGACACACTGTTCGAGCGTTCGTCGCAAAGCGTGAACAAAGAGGCGCGAGGTATCGGTCGAGTAACGCGGACGGACGGGGGCCGAGCGTAGTCTCCGCTCGGAGTGCGAATAAAATTTCGAGAAGGCAACTCGGTCGTCGACGTCGTCGTCGTCGTCGTCGTCGTCGTCAAAGAGGTTCGAAACCTCGTAGAAGACGTACGCGAAGGTTGTAACCGCGACCGCTGAATTCGATGATCGACGTAACGAGATTACCACGATCGATTATCGAATTTACGAGATAATTTTGGTAAGTACACCGCGATCACGCGGCTACACGGTTCGTTCGAAATAGTAACGCACGGCGTGCGGCGTACGGTGTACGGCGAGAGGTCGATAGACGCGGATCGATGCGATCGGACCCCGATTCTACGTACGCCCGGCCGCTGTTCGCGCGAACTTTGACTTACGGAGAAATAAAGCCTCGGCTGTTGTGTCGACCTCCGTGAACGAGCGATACATCGAACCCCGCATAATCGGTATCGCGCTCGAATAAAACGGATTATCAGAATCGATACGAATGTGACAATTTGTTCAGGGCGGAATTAGCCGAGGCGAAGAAACGAGCGAAAACGTACAAAGAGAGGAAGAAACACGACAGATTCGACGGTATGCCGGAAGAGGAAGTGAGCAAGCGTGTCCTACCGGATCATCTGACCAACAACCTCGACATCATCATAGTAAGTTGACGGGCAACGTTTCGGGCAAGAGAGAGGCGAGAGGCTCGCTGCTCTCGGTCGCTCCGATTTTCGCGAAACGGGAGCGATTAATTCGATCAGTCTGGGGCGCGACGGTCGTTCGGTTAACAGGAAAATCCATCCGGAAGGTAGCGAGACGGTAGGAACGTAACGACGACGAATAGCCGTTCGTGGCGCGTTTATCGAGTGTCGTCGAGTGTCGTAATCGGTTATAATGGGCCATACTCCGTACACGACTCGTCGTTATCGCGTTCGACGTCGCGTCCTTAACTAGCTCGAGCGCGTTTCCGAGCACCGTCGGCGAATCGCGGTGAATTTTTCGCGGACGCGGTTCGTCCTGCAAGACGGAAAGCGCGATGTTCGAACGACGAGAGGAAGTCCGTTAGCGGCCGGTTCATATTCATATATTACACGGGACGAGTAGTCGACGCGGTCGATCATCCGTCAAACGGCGTAAACGCTTTAACGGGCCGTGGGCAATTCGGTTATTACGGGCGTCGTTGTAATCGAACGCGGCGGGACACCGGTGTCCGAGGCCCGTTACCCCTCGATCCCCGACAGAAGACCCCATACCCGGCCTTCGCGCCCGCGTGCGCC